TCCCTACTATGACGTCTCCTCACCTGCCAGCATCTGCACCCACGTACTTGGCCTTCCCTTCCTGTCCCTATAAATTAAACTATCTCTGAGCTTACAGAGATTCAACCTTTCTACTTCCTAAGATTACTTGCTCAAGAGCGTAATTCCAGCAATTCCCTTTTGTCTTCTACATCTTCGACTTTTTCCTTTTTTACTGAATTATTTCTCTAAGTGTACAAATGTACTGTTATTTGTCCTCCATACTACAAACAAGCTCTCAGCTGACCTCCATTCCCTTCAGTTACCATCCCAGATTTCTGCTCCTGCCCCTTCCTGTTTATAGCAAAATTCAAGCACATTCTAAGGTCAACCCCCTGGCTCAGTGGCTAAGGAAGCTGTATCCCACATGACAGACTGTGGTTTGAATCCTGGTGTAGCAGCTTGACAAATATGCCAGGTATTTGTGTATGTGCATTCACACCCATGTGTGCACAAAATCCTCACAAGAGGTAGAAATGGAGAAGGCCTTGTAGCATGACCACACTCCATTGGGGAATGTTTTCTTCTTCCTTCTTTATCTCTGGTGAGTGTATGTGCCCTCTGGCGAATAAAAAAGTAGCATTATAACCCCCAAAAAATCCAATTTAAAAATGGGCAAATTAGCTGAGTAGACAACTCTCCAAGGAAGACATATGAACAGACATATGAAAAAATGCTCAACATCCCTTATAATAAGGGAGATGAAAATCAAAACCATGATGAGATACCACTAACTCCAGACAGAATTGCCAAAATTAAAAAAATAAAGAATGATGGGACCAGCAGGTGGTGTGGTTAAGGTGCTGGACACTCCCACATAGCCAACCATGGTTGGAGTCCTGGACCTGGTGGCTTGCTTTCTCACTTTCTCTCTTTCTGTCTTTCTCTCTGGTCAAATTAAAATAAATGAATAGATAAATAATTCATTTAAAATTTAAAAAAAAAAAAGAATGATAAGCGCCAGTGAGGTTCCAGTGAAAAGGAACTCTCTTACATTGCTGGTGGGAATGTAAATTAGTACAACCACTGTGGAGAACAATATTGAGGTTCCTCAAAGACCTATAAATAGAACTACCATACCATTTAGCACTTCCATTTCTGGGTATCTTTGTAAAAAGGTTAGGAATACACTCAGAAAAACACTGGCACATCCATGTTAACTATGACATTATTCATAATTACTAAGATATGGAACCAACCCAAATGTTCAAAGACTGATGAATGAATTGAAAAAGTATGTCACATTTACACTATAATATACTACTCAGCCATAAAAAACAATGAGACCTGGCATTTGATAGAAAATGGAAGAATGTGAGAGATTTAATGCTGAGCGAAGCAAACCAAACTCTGAAAGAGTTGGGACCAGCAGATGGTGTAGTCGACCATGGGTCAAGTCCTGGACCCAGCAGGTTAAAACTCACACCAGGCACTTGTGCATGCCCAAAATCCTGAGAGGAAATTGGAGAAGGAATTGCAGTGTGGCAATCCCCCCTGGGGAGTGATTTCTTGTTTTCTGTCTCTCTGTCTCTCTGGCAAGAGCACATACCCTATAGCAAAAATCCCTTAAAAAAAAAAAAATATATATATATATGTATATATATATGTATATATATACACACACACACCAAGTGTCTACATTCTATGGCAGAAACTGAAAGGTTGTAAGATATAAAAGCATGAAGAGCATGTGAATACTCTGTGAATACTAAAAACAGTGTGGGAGGAGAGTGGGTATTGTAAAAAAAAAAAAAAAAAAAAGCCAAAC